GCACCGGGCCTCTAGTATTTTATATTGTTTTTTAAAGATGATTTATGTATACACCTAGGCTTTTAAAATCCACTTTATTAGACTAAGCAAAATCAGGCACACATTAAAGCTGATCTGTCTGATATGGCAGCCACTTGCCAAATATGGCTAAGTTAATTAACGTTAAATAAAAGTAAAGTTCCAATTCCTCAGTCATACTGCAGCATTCCAATTACTTAAGAGCTACATGTGGTTAGTAGCTACTGTGTGGAACTAGGCAGAGCTGGAAAATTGACATCAGGGAAAGTTCTATTGGATTGCATTATATTAAATTATGTCTTTAGAGGACCATTTTTTAAATGTTCATGTATTGGGGTTTTGGGATAACCTACGGGTAGATAACATTTATAACATGACAGTATGTTATCCTCATTCTGACAGAATTCACAGTCTGATGGTTACTTAGTAAATATTCCTTGCTTTGTCTCACATGATGCTTCAAGAAAGAATTTCTAGTCTAGGCAAAGAGTCAGCAGAAATTAAAGTGATTTTCAAAATAGTCTAGGAAGCTATAGTAACTCCCCAATTTTTCTCCTTTAAATAAAAATGGAGAATTTAGCATTATAAGGCCAAAGGAAAGTCAAAATATAAAAGACCAAGATAAGTCTACAGAAAAGCTGACTCTAGAGGAAAGAGAAAAAACAAAACAAAACAAAAAAAACAAGAAAAGTAAATTAAAAAATTTTAAATGATAGGCCAAGAAAAGCTGAAAATATACTTAAATAAGAAAAGCCTGCCATGAAAAGAAAATCAGAATACAAAAAGAACCTTCCAGATATTTAAAAAATATATAATTTCTTGAATTAAAATTGAAATTATGAATTGAATAATAGGGTTAATGACATTTCCCAAAATGTCAAACAGCAACAAGACAAAAAGAAACAAAATATGATTAAATGAAGGAGAGGCTTGAAAACCCTTTAAATGTCAAATGTTTAATTGATAAGGTCTTTAGATAAAAAGGTAAAAGAAGAAGACAGGGAGGAAATTAGTAAAGACAAACATACCTGAATGCTAGAGACATAGGCCACTACAATGAAAGAACAGACACTGCTTATTACATCTCATGAAATTTCAAGGGGGAAATGTGTTTAAAGAGAGAGAGAAGAAACAAAACAGGTTACTTACAGAGGAATGAGAATCAAATTGGCTTCAATCTGCTTGTCAACAACAATGGGCACTAGAAGACAGAGGAGTAATGTCTTTAAGAGTTTAAGAAAAAGGATATTGCAATGTAGAATATTGGATCTAATTCAATTATTTAGACACAAGAGAAGTTATTTAAGTGACCTGTACATTTAGCTTCCTTTCTTTAGAAAGTTACGAAGGAATGCACTGTAACAAGGGAGACCATAAACCAAATGAATGCATAAACTTGACTACAAGAGTTGCAACTCAGAGAGAGTAGGAGCACTATATAGGTTGAGGATGGCAGTAGGTAGAGTAATCAGAGCAGAATAGAGCAGGAAGGCCAGGTGGGGAGGAGGGATGTCTGCAGAGGGAAAATAAGGAGCTTTAAGTAGATTAGAGTAAGTTAAACATTTGAAGGCCTTGAGGATACTCTAAAATCTGATGAATCTTAGAGAGAAGATTGGTCAAGGGCAGGGAGAGATTAACCAAAGAAATTATATACATATATGCAAACAATAGTTTGGTGAGGGTCTTGGAGGAGGGGGGTGTGAAGGGTGAAGGGAGTCAATAGGTGGGAAAGGGGGACATCTGTAATACTTTGAACAATAAAGATTTATTTAAGTCTCATGATAAATGGAGGGGAAAAAAAGGAAAGGAAGGCAATGAGAAATCTAGGAAAAGAAAGAGCTGTAATAAAACACATATGGTCCAAATATAAAGCAACATTAAAGTGCAAAAAAAGAATTAGTCATTAGGGTTGGGAAAGCCATCATCTTTCAATTTTGAAGCTAGGGCCTTTTCCTTATGGGTGACTCAAAAATTGTCAGTAATATCTCACAAGGTAATGCATGCTTGGATTAAAACAGCCAAAACAGTTTCATAGAAACATTAGGTTTCACATTTAATATAAAAATGTAGAATATCAATCATTTATTAGTATATAATAAATGCATAATAACTTGGGCTTACAGGTGAATAGATAACATAGAAAGTAGTCACTAAACACTGATATTTATATATCAGAGCACCTTTTATACTATTTCATTGCCTTTTAAGGTTTGTCATAGCATTAAAGGTGGATTTGACAAGAGCAATAAGGACATGATGACATGATGTCTTAGTCAGCTTGACTGCCATAACAAAATACTACAGTCTGGGTGGCTTGAACAACAGAAATTTATTTTCTTACCATTTAAAAGGCTGGACTTCTGAGGTTAGGGTTCCACCATGCTTATTCTCTGGTGCAGGCTCTCTCCTTGGGTTGTAGAGGACCCTTTCTCACTGTGTGCTCACATGACTTCTTCTTTGTGAGGACATGGAAGGTTGGGGAGCAAGCTCTCTGGTATCTTCTTATAAGGGTACTAATACCATCAAGAGAGCCCCACCTTTATGACTTTGTCTAACCTTAAATATTCCCTAAAGACTATCACTTTGGAAGTTAGGGCTGCAACCCAAGACTTTTGGGGGTTATGCAAATGTTCAGTCCATAAAACATGGGTTTTAAATTTTCACATAACTATAACTTTAGAAGAAAAATAATATCAGCATCACTTTAAAATATGAGAACATTTAAAATCTAGTATTCTGTGAAATAGTTTGCAAATGGCGTTTAAGCATAATATTTGAAAACAATCAGAAGTCCACATTCTCCTGTGATTCTTATTATTCTTAATCAGGTCTTCTCTGGATTTCCACTGGTGAATTAATAAATATGTATAATTTTCTGTATCCATCTGCTTAAATTCCCAAATTATGATTTTCATTACAGTCTTGAACCAACTATTTTTGTAAACTTGAGAACTAGCATTACTTTCAGTATTCTGTTAGCAAATGGTTTATTATTGGGAACATGCTGAGAATAATAGTTTAAAATATAAAATATAGTTGGTCAGATTGTGAAACTGAAGAGGTACGTGGTATGCCCTCAAACTATAAGTAAACATTACACTAGATGCAAAATACAGAGAAGTGAGACAAACAGCAAAACTTGGACCATGATAGCTTATTGATTAGAAGTGATCCAGAGTGTTTTTCTTAATGAAGGCTCATAAGACCTGACTGCCTCCCATTTATCTGCTTTTCACTTTTGAGAAAAATTTGGCCTTGACTTCCATCCAAGGTTATGGTCTTGCCTGATTTCCAGTGGTCCATTGTTTGGCAAGACAAATGCTGACTTCCTACAAAATGGCCTTCCTAGCACACTATTCAAATCAATGGTTGGTCATCAATGCATCTTTTGGATTTATTTATTACATTACCCTTTTGGCAATAAATTAATTACCAAAATAAATAATTACCATGGAATAAAAGAAGCCACATGCTAAACTTTACAAGCTCAGAGGAGGCCTCCATGATGGACCTTACAAATTCAGAGAACTAAAGTAACCACATAGGATGGGCTGAAATTAAACTTCCTAACTAAAAGCAAGTCATGGCGGATAGTCATGTTCTAGGCCAGTATCTTCCTTTACAAAGGTCCATCTTTCCTTAATTGAGCCTGTCTATTGTCTTTTATTTTTTAAATTCTCACCGAGGATATTTTCCCATTGATTTTTAGAGTGGGAGAGAGAAAACAGAGAAATATCAGTGTGAGAGAAACACATCTGTTGGTTGCCTCCTGCATGTTCCTGGACCAGGGTCTGGGTTGGGGAGGAACCTGCAACCTAGGTATGTGCATGTGCCCTTGACCAGAATCAAACCTAGGACCCTTCGGTCTGCAGGTCAAGGCTCTATCCACTGACCCAAACTGGCTAGAGCCTGTCTATTGACTTTTGCATCTATGATAGCATATCTTTGTAATGTCAGGGTAATTTGCTTTTTCCAGACCTACCAGAGCAGGAGACAACAGAATCCCTCATTCTTATTACTAAAGACCGATCTGATGCACGAAATTCATGAAAGAGTAGGCCTTCCTATCCCCAGCTGCCAGCACCGGCTTCCCTTGCAGCCCCAGCTTCATCCAGAAGGTTGTCCAGGACATCCTTAACACCACCCCCCCCCCCCCCCCCCTACAAATTGTAGAGGAGTAATTCTGTTAACTGCTAAATGGTATGATCTTATTAATAATAAAATATACTTAGCAGGAGTACTTCTTTATGATGATAAATACATTTAGATACATGTCAATTTACAGTCTATTGATAATTTTATTTTATTTTCTTAAATAATTTTTTAATTTAATATATTTTATTGATTTTTTACAGAGAGGAAGGGAGAGAGATACAGAGTTAGAAACATCGATGAGAGAGAGTCATCGATCAGCTGCCTCTTGCACACTCCCCACCGGGGATATGCCCGCAACCAAGGTACATGCCCTTGACTGGAATCGAACCCGGGACCCTTCAGTCCCCAAGCCGACGCTCTATCCATTGAGCCAAACCGGTCCCGGCTTTTTAAATAATTTTTTTTTTATTGATTTCAAAAAGGAAGGGAAAGGAAGAGAAAGATAGAAACGTCAATGATGAGAGAGGATTATTGATTGGCTGCCTCCTGTACGTCCCGCACTGGGGATCAAGCCTGCAACCCAGGCATATGCCCTTGACTGGGAATCAAACCTGGGAACTTTCACTCCACAGTCTGACTCTCTAGCCACTGAGCCAACCCAGCTAGGGCTGATAATTTTATTTTATAATTAAATTGTTATGACTGCTAACTTTTTTTGACCAAGATAGATCTGCTATTTTAGATCTAACCCTTGCTATGTCTGTGCTTATAGGTTCCTAGCAAGATATATATGTGTGAGGTCAGGTTCCCTTTGATTTTGATGCTTTGACCTCTAAACCCAAGCCTTCTGTCAAGTAGTCTTATGATGATTGTCTTGCTTTTTTTAGGAGATGATGCCAGGGAGGCAGTTAAATATGGTTTGGATGGAATCTTGGTGTCAAATCATGGGGCTCGACAACTCGATGGGGTGCCAGCCACTGTGAGTTGTAACAAATGCTGAGATTTATTTTTGCGTTTCTCATTTCCATCAAAATTTTGATCTTCTCTGCCTCCTCACTGTGTATGCTTTTGAACAGTCAAGGTAAAATATATGTGAATATATGAGATCTCAGATTTTTAGTTAATGGCACATAATTATCTAAATTAGATAATTAGTCCAATATGCTTATTTGAAAACTAAAAAAAAAAAAAGTTAAATTACAAATCATTTGTAGGCAGGGATTACTCTTGTATTCATAGGTATATCAATAGGTATAACATAAATGGCTGTGTGAAAGAAATTATTATAACATAAAAGTCCACAAAGAGGAGCTAACAGACAGTTGCAGTATTTGCAAAGGCTTTGGTGGCATTTGAGATCATTGATACAATTATGACAAGAAGTCAGAAGTAGGGAAAGACTGCAATTTCCTGTGGATATAGGGGTTGAAAGCTGTAGAGAGATGGTAGGTGGTTGTGAAGGGAAATGAAATCCTATGGCTCTGGTGAGGTAGGCTGCAACCCAGATCAATCATCAGAATCTCTAGGGGTGGGGAGCAGAGGCACCAGTAATATTTAAAGCTACCCAGGAGATTCCAATGTGCATCTATGGTTTTTATACACTGTATACTCTGTGCTAGACAAATTGGAGTCTAAAAGCTATATTAATAAAAGGGTAATATGCTAATTAGATCAGATCAATTAGACATCTTCCAGATGTCCGAATTCCTTCCTGACAAAGCCATGGTGGTGGGGGTCAAGGCAGAGGTGGTTAGGGGCCATTAGACCCACAGGGGAGGGAAGTTAGACCCACAGGGGAGGGACTATCTGACTGGCAGAGGAGTGAAGTTAAGCGGTGATCAGGCAGGCAGGTAGAGGCGGTTAGGAGCCAGAAGTCCTGAATTATGAGGGGGATATTCAAGGGGTTCCATATTGAAGAAGGTGCAGACTGGGCTGAGGGACAGTCCCCTCTGTGCATGAATTTTATGCACTGGGCCTCAGTCTAGATATAAAAGTGAACCAAACTGCCTGGAAGTGTGATACTGAGTTAAAATTATAAAAGAGAGCAGTTAACCACAAGACCAATAAAGGCACTGGGACAGATTTTGAGATCAAGAATTAGGGGCCCAAAATAAATAAAAAGTCATGAAGACAGATACCTATCCTGGAGTGAATTTCATGGATCCATATCTAGAATGGGGTGAGGAGCTGGAGTGGATGTGGTATTTAAAAGTAGTTCTCTTCCATGTTGTCCACTTGTGGAAAATAGGCCACAATTCTTTTAGATGAGGCAATGGTTTTGCTGTTGCCTTGCACCTCTGCTCTGTCTCCATGGGGACCCCTGTTTTTAGAAGTGTGAGCCTAAATGTGGAATGGGCTATGTTTGGGGAATTTCAAGTAATCTATTTTGTTTGCGGTGTCTGGTTGGTGTGGACAGGTAAGGGAGGAGGAGTTTCTTCAATATAATAAGTCATTGGATATACAATAGAATCGCCTTGGTTTAGCAGCAATGAATCTTAGAAATTGGATTTTGGCATGACAGGAGGCAGGAAGATCAGTTAGGTGGCAAAGGGAAGAGAGAAGGGCCCCAAATGTGACAGGGAAGAGGGCATCAATTTCTATTCTAAATCTTAGTTTTTGTCATCTGTTAAAGTTTAAACACCATTACATTATTTCTTTTGTGACTTTATACTTCTTTAACTAATCTCTTCACCTTTTATCCTAAAATCTTATTTATTATAGGCAAAGTAAGCTAATATTATGTAACAAAACTAAAAAAAAAATGTTTACCAGGTCATGTGGATGGACATTTCAGACCACCATCTCTAAACGGGACCACCATGTGTATTTTCCCCCTATTGTCAGAACCATTCAGTCATAGTTGTTATAATGAATGCCTTTAATTGGGGTGACCAGTTGAATTGATTCAACAAATGGTAGTAGAATAGAACAAGTAATTTAGTCAAGTGATAGTGGGCTATTGTTTTATTGAACTAGCAGGTTTGGTTTCATTAAATCCATAGATAGTTGTATAGGTCTTAGAGCAGACTAAATGACTAGAAGAGAATATTGGGTACACATATCTATACTCACAGTTTTCCCTCAAGCATTAGTGATAGGAATGAAACAAGTGTTTGCACACAGTAGGATCACACTGTCAAGACTTTCTTTTCTTTTAACTTATTTTTATTGTTGACATTGTTACAGATGTTCCCATTCTCCACTGCTCTTTAGCCAACTCCACCCAGCCCCCCACCCTTCCCTCAGGCCATCACCTCATCAGTGTCTGTGTCCTTGGATTATGTATATATGTTCTTTGGCTAATCTCTTCACCTTTTATCTAGTCTCCTCCACCCCCCTCCCCTCCTGTCAGTCTGTTCCAAGTATCCATGGCTCTGGTTCTGTTTTTTTCATCACTTTATGTTATTATTTATTTATTTAAATTTATTTTTATTGTTGAAAGTATTACAGATGTTCCCTTTTTGTTCTTCATTGACCCCCCTACCCTCCTCTCTCAACCCCAGGCCTGCACCTCACTATTATCTGTGTCCATAGGTTATGCATATATACATATAAATTATTTGGTTAATCTCTCCTCACCCCCACCACACCCTCCACTTTGTTTTCAGTTCTTTCCCATTCGGCCTTACTTATAAGGGCCCATATTTTTGGGTGATTTTAAATGTTGCCTGCAGGTAAATAGGGGTGGAGAGTCTCTTCTGGGCAGGGAGGAAAAGTTGGTAACAGCTCCTGGCTTTCTTGCACATTTATGCCTCCCTTATGCATGAAGACACTGACTTAGTGTGCGGGCCAAATTAAGTTTGTTTTCTAAAAATAAAATCTAAATCTACTGAAATCAAATCTAACTAGATTTTAAGGAAAAAAATATCTAAATGGTATGGTTTATTTTCCTCTGGCTGAGGGGATATGGAAACTTATCTAAAAGGGCTTTTTGAGCTGTGGTCTCGGAGACTTCTAAGAAAAACAATGACCCTCCCTTTGCATGCTGTGCGTAAGAGAGGAGTGCTTGCTTGAGTTTTGCCTCATAGAGAGAATTGAAGGCCCATGATGGTGAGAGAAATCTGAGAAAGGGTTCGGTTTACAGGAAGATGTTTTTCCCTAGTATGTGGGTTTTGAGGTAAGTGGCAAAAGGCTTAGTGGAGGCTGTAGTGTAAAACCTTTCAGTAGATACACAGAAGGACCGGCTGTCCTGCAGATTATGTGACATCATAAGTCAGAGCTACAGAGGCAGAGTGATGTCATGGGGGGAGCACCAAAATAGAAGTCTAGAGTCAAAGGTAAGTCCTTGTCTTACCTTTTTTCAGGAGTGTGACCTGGGTGAGCAAGTTGCTTAAACATTTCAGCTTGAGCTTTTTCATTGTGTTGTGTTGGTTGAGAAAATAAAGCAGCTAGACTATATGGTTTCTACATTTCTATAAATCACCAAGTTCCTTGGATAGGAAATTCTTATCACTAAGAACCTTACTCCATTCAGCTTAATACCTCACTATTGAGAATCTCTGCCAGACCTTTCCGATATCCAAAAGGAATTAAAAATTAAGCTCATGTCAGTCCTTACCCGCAAAGTAGTAATGTGACCACGACTGATCTTGAAGTCATTAGAGAACAATATGATAGAATCAAATCCATTTCCAAAATCTACAGTACTGAACATCACAAATTGGGGTTTAAAGATAGATTCTCTCAAGCCATTGAATCGTAGTAGCATTTCCCCCCCCCCCCCCCATTTTTGTTTTGATGCTAACTGGACCCATATTTAAACTTATGAATATGCCATTTTTTTTATAGTGAAAATTCTTAACTGCAGAAGATTTTCTTAAAATAAGTATTTGGGTTGTTAAGTCAAGTGTTTCTTGATTCCTTGGCTCTTCTATGAGATCTAAAATATTTAATTTAAAAAAATATATATTTTATTTATTTTTTACAGAGAGGAAGGAATAGGTATAGAGAGCTAGAAACATCGATGAGAGAGAAACATCTATCAGCTGCTTCCTGCATGTCCCCTACTGGGGATGTGCCCACAACCAATGTACATGCCCTTAACCAGAATCAAACCTGAGACCTTTTAGTTTGCAGACCAATGCTTTATCCACTGAGCCAAACTGGTTTTGGCTTTATTTTTCCTTTTAAAAGAGATCCATGTAATTCTACCTTTGAGAAACACTTGATGTATTAGTTAGCTTTTGCTGTGTAACTTACTGGCCAAAATTCAATAGCCATTTACTTACGTCACAATTTTGTGAGTTGGCAATTCAGTCTGAGATTGTCTGGGAGACTATTCCCGTGTTGGTTGGCCTCACTCATATGCGTCTGGGTCTACTTGAACAGGCAGGAACAGCTTTTAATTGTCTCATATCTAGCACATTAGCTGAGCCAGTTCTCATGAGGTAGCCGACTTCTGAGAGCAAGTGCAAGCCCACAAGGCCTCTTAGGATCTAGGCTTAGAACAGACATATTGAAGCTTCTGTCATATTCTGTTGGTCACAATGGCAAGTTCAAACTCAAGGGGCAGGGAAATAGACTCTTCTGGTCAGATTTCTCCCATGTAATAGGAGGAGCTGAAATGTCACATTTCAAGGAAATGAAGACATTTTTGCAATTGCGGTAACCAGGGCTTGCCTGTGTGGGCCAATGGTTTTCTAAGCGGGCTTAATAGAACCCCCCCAGAGATGCTTGGTGAAGTGTGATGGGTAAGACAGAGAGTCAGAGAAGGATTGATGGGTAGTGGCCTGGACTCTGTCTTCTTCTTTTTTCAACTCTGGTTTTGCTTGCTTTTGTTTATGCTCAATTCCTTTGGTTTGAAAACTTTAAATGGTTGCCACCCTAAAATGTCAGAAATTAGGGATATAGTAATGAATACAACAGGAAGGTAGCAAGTGAGGACCAGGAGCGTCCTTGGGAGAAAGTGACTTGAGTGGGAACAGCAAAGAGATTCTGTCCTTTGGATCCAGGTGGGATTCTTCTTGCATCTCTGCGATTTCCTTTTCGGACTCTTTAAACCACCTGGCATAGTGTCTTGAATATACCAGGTCCTCGATAAAGTGTTTGATAAGTCGATGAATGGATGGGTGCATGAGCAATAGTATATTGGGTGGGATTTGCAATATTTTTTTCTGTATATTAAACCCACTGGAGTCAAGACCCCAACTAGTTGTCTAAAGAACCACTAAGGAAAGAAAAGCTGAAATGAATGGTTTCTTAGATGTGCAGCAAGCTGAAAAGAAGAAAACATAAGAGAGTCATAAAATAGTGGATTTGTCTACGATATTTATTTATTTAATCGCCCTGGATCAGAATTATTCTCTGAAATACTCAGTAAAATTGCAATAAAGGGGAAACAAAGGGTAGGAGGAGAAGGATAGAAATGCTCAGCAAATGAATAGTACAGGCTTGTCCACAGACATGTGCAGCAACAACCTAGGTTCCTTTTTATAACCCAGGATTCACATTTAAATTATCCATAACAGTTTCCTTTTAGGCCAGGCTGGGCATTGGAAATAACCTAAAGAGACTTGAGTTGCATGACTTTGAAAATGTGTATTGAACCCGAGCTAGCTAATATTATTTTTTGGTTCTGGTTTCAAATGGGGAAATATGCTTAATTATAGCTTGCATCATCCCTTGGAAATTGTAGCATTTCTATGTTGATGTAACTTGCCTGACTGTAAAAGGAGGACTATGTATAGGTAAAGGGGCATATGTAAATGGATCCAAAGCATGTTTGGCAAGGCAGAGAAGCCAAAAGGAAAGAGAGGAAAATCACAGCACTTGCCAAACATTTAGGGGCTGCATGCCAAATGTTGCCTTCACTTCCTCCAAATCTGTTGCTGGGCTTGGTCTTCAGTCTTTTACATAAAACTCTTTTTAAGTTTTGCCTCTAAAGTTTTAGGGGCGAAGTGGGAAAAACTTCTGAGTGATTTCAGCACAATTATTTTGAGAAAAAAACTGCACTTGAATGCCTGGTTGCTTTTCAGCATGCATTCTAAGTGGGGATTGGATTTAACTTTAGATTTAAATATGTTGGTATGAATGTGAATAATTTCTATAGATTTTGACCTGCAGGTCACCTTGGGAATTGTTTCCATTCCCAAGTGCAAAGATTTAGATCAAAGTAGCTGACAGTGTCAGCTATTAGCTATGAACTCTATTGGCGATTAGCCAACCATATTCACTATTGGCACGTGAAGCTATAAAACAAGATTCCAAATCCAGTGTTTTAAACCAACAGTAATTTATTCCCATGAAAGTCTGTGTGAACTGGAGGTCTGCTGATATGGACTTGGTACTGGTTAGGTGGCTGTGGTCCCAGTCTCAGGTCCAGTTGGGTTTGGCTGGGCTAGCTCTGCTTCCTGAATATTTATCCTGGGGCCTAAGCGGGAAGCATTGACCAGGGGATTCTCCTCTCACAGCAAATGGCACAGGTGCAAGAGAAAGCTGAGACCCACGAGGTTGTTTAAGGCCTATGTCCAGAAATGATACTTTGTACCTCTGCTTCAGTGGTTCTCAACCTTTCTAATGCCACGACCCTTTTATACAGTTCCTCATGTTGTAGTGACCCCCAACCATAAAATTATTTTCATTGCTACTTCATAACTGTAATTTTGATACTGTTATGAATCGTAATGTAAATATCTGTGTTTTCCTATGGTCTTAGGTGACCCTGCTAGTGGTTCTCAACCACTGCACTGGGGCTCTAGTATATTTAAAAACTTAAGCAACTGAACAGCCGAACGACCAAAGGACATGTTGCTATGATGCGAACTGACTACCAGGGGTCAGATGCTCAATGCGTGAGCTGTCCCTTGTGGTCAGTGCGCTCCCACAGTGGGAGTGCTGCTCTGCTGACCTCTGGGTGTCAGATGCCAGGCTCAAGGCTGGCAAGCACAGTTGCAGCAGCACCAGCCTCTCCCACCTCCATAGCAGCACTGCCGAGTGGTGGCAGCAGGTGCAAAGGCCAGGATCACCTGACCCAGGCTCCTTCCTGGCCACCTATCACTTTGCACACTACTACATACTATGGGGGATGTTGGACTGCTAGTTTCTGACATCCCCCAAGGGGTCCCGGATTGGAGGGTGCAGGCCAGGCTGAGGGATTCGTGTACCAAGCCTCTAATATATATATATATATATATATATATATATTTTTTTTTTTTTTTTTTTTTTTTTTTCATGGAGACCTATGAACTGGGAGGTCATGGTTTGGTGCCTAGTCAGGGCACGTGGCAGAGTTGTGGGGCTCAGGCCCCAGTGTGGGGTGTGTGGGGAGGTGGGGCAACTGATCAGTGGTTTTCTCTCATCATTGATATTTCTATCTCTCCCTTTCCCTTTCTCTTTGAAATCAAGAAAACATATTTAAAAATACTAATAAAATAAAATTAGGTTTACATTACAAAATATTTTATTGATTTTTTACAGAGAGGAGAGAGAGGTATAAAGAGCTAGAAACATCTTTGGGAGAGAATCATCGATCAGCTGCCTCCTGCACACCCCCTACCGGGGATGTGCCCACAACCAGTGTACATGCCCTTGACCGGAATCGAACCCGGGTCCCTTCAGTCCCCAAGCCAATGCTCAATCCATTGAGCCAAACCGGTCTCGGCTAAGTTTACAATTTTAAAAAATCATTATCTTTGGACCTGAACAAGTAGCTCATTTGGTTAGAGCATCATTCCAATGTTCCAATGTTTTAGGTTTGATCCCCAGTCAGGGCACATACAAGAATATACTGATGCATGCATAAATAGGTGGAACAGAAAAAATTGACTTTTCTCTCTCTCCCTTCTTTTCTCTTTATAGAAATCAACACAAAATAAAATAAAATAATGATATTCGAATTTGAATATCAGGAACAGAAAAAAATATTGTGGTCTCTGAAAGAAAAAGGAGCCACCCAATTCCAGATGTAGTTTGTTTTTCTTGTGATTTTTGTTTGTTTTTTGTTACTCGCATTTGCACCACTTTTATTTCAGGGGGAATTTACTGTTGATTCCAAATCTACTTAGCTTCTTTTACTCTGAGCCCTAGTTAGTGGGCTTTGGGGGTGGAGTGGGGTAACAATGCAGCATGCAGAGTGTTGTCACATGAATTACCTCTTCTTTCCACAGATTGATGCTCTGCCCGAAATTGTGGAGGCCGTTGACGGGAAGGTGGAGGTCTTCCTGGACGGGGGTGTCAGGAAAGGCACTGATGTTCTAAAAGCTCTGGCCCTGGGAGCCAAGGCTGTGTTTGTGGGGAGACCAATCATCTGGGGTTTGGCTTCCCAGGTAATTGGAAGACAAATAAATAAATACATAAAACAGGATAACTCAACAGTGACATAAATACATGAAAAAGCCAGAATGAGTTACCCAAAAGATCTCTATCTTTTCCTTGTTTAGGGAGAGAAAGGTGTTCAAGATGTCCTTGAGATACTCAAGGAAGAATTCCGATTGGCAATGGCTCTGAGTGGTAAGATTTGTCTTTGCAATTTACAACTTTCTTTTTTCTTTTATAAGTATCTTTTTATTGATTTCAGAGAAAAGGGGAGAGGGAAAGAGATATAGAAACATCAATAGAGAAAAATCATTGATTGGCTGCCTCCTGCACATTCCACATTGGGGAATAAACTCGCAACCCAGGCATGTGCCCTGACTGGGAATCAAACTGTGATCTCCTGGTTCATAGGTCAACACTCAACTACTGAACCACACTGGTTGGGATACAACTTTCTTTTCTTCCAGTGGTCATTAAGCCAAGGCTCCTTGGTGGGAAGAAGTGAGTTTAAGGGGTAAGGAGATGGAATTATTTTGGGCTGTAATTAAATTTAAGTTAGCTCCATATTTATAGCTTAGTGCTGAGCACCCTCTGAACTGAGGAACTCTGCAGAGTACACAGTCTGTAACACTCACTTAGCCTCTATCTTTGAAAGTCTTATTGGGATATTTGGGTAAGGATGAGTACTTTCAGGGTGAATATTACACCACACTTTTCTTCACTTCATAGCACATGAACAATAAATCTAACTGGTTAGGCAACAACTCTACTTGGATATCTTAGTGACATCTCAGACTCTACCTCTTCAAAACTAAACTGCTAACTTTTCCTACTAAAACTTGCTTCATCTGCAGACTTTCCAGTCTCAGTTCACATTATCACCTTTGTTTCAGGTGCTCAGATAAAAAATCTCAAGTCACTCTTGACTTTTATTTTTCCTCACACCCTTACATCTGCAGAGGATCCATTTGCAAAGTATAATCAGAATCTGACTTCACCTACCACCTCCACTGTCATCACTCTAGTCAGAGCCATCATCACTCTGCACCATGGATATTCCAAGTCTCTCTGTGTATCCTTCCCAACATTTATCTTCCCTTGGGACTTACAGGTCTGTCTGTCTATCCTTGCCTAGATCTGCCTCCCAGCCCACTCTGATCACGGTAGTCAGATTACTTCAGATCATGTCACTCTTCTCATCAGAAGGCTCAATTGTTCTGAGTTTATTCAGAGTAAAGGCCAATGGGGTATAAGGCCCTATGTGGTTTGACCTCTACCACCTCTCTGATCTCACCTCCAGCTACTGTCACCATTGCTTATTCTGCTCAGGGTTCATTTATCTCCTGGCTGTCCCTTGGCTATGCTAGACATGTTTCAGCCTTAGGGATCTTCCCCCAGATATTTACATGGCTGATTCCCTCACACCCTTCAAGTCACAATTATGATACACTGTACTTTCTCAAAGGGCCCCATTCTGACCACCCTATTTAAAATGACCATTTGCTCTCTGCCCACACACTCAGCTTCCAGTTTTCTTTCCCTATTATTAGCTCGTTACTTTATCATAGCACCTATTACCTTCTATAGATCATCTAGCTTATGATTTATTTTTTAAAGTCATATGCATTATGTATCATCTCTTTCCTCTCTAGGATGTAAGAAGCACAAGGCAGCAATCTTTGTCCATAGTCTTCACTGCAGTATTCCTAGTGTATAGAGCAGTGCCTGGCACATAAATAATATTTGCAGAATGAATGAATAAATAAATAAGCAGCATTGTACATGCAAAGAATGACCTTGAGTTAATTATCAAGTCCCCAACTTTTGAAGGTAACAAGGGCTTCCTTTTCTGTGATCCATATCACCCCGATTGTCTCCATAGATAGACTCCCCAAGATCAATGGTCTCCTCACTACTGTGCTGAGCCTGTGTGGACACAGCCTCAGCGAGAAGAATGCCATTCTGTGAATCCTCACTATGCATTTTAATTTGCTACAGACATATCCTAAAAGAGAGCTTTCAGCCACTGGCTCTTTATTAAATGTGGCAGAAAGAATATACTCTTTGTGTTAATAAAAATATGTGCCAGTCATTTTGTGTTAAGGACTGTTTAGGTAATAAAAATGGTCTCATGCCACATAAGATTTGGCAAGGCTACCTTGAATCATAAACCTTACATTTGTCAAGTTTTACATTCCTTGGGAAAACGATTACCTGCCTGATTATTATTGCATTCATTTCATATTAAATGTATGCATTCTTTTTTTCAGGGTGCCAGAATGTGAAAGCCATCGACAAGACATTGGTGAGGAAAAATCCTTTGGCCCTTTCCAAGATCTGACAGTGCACAATATTTTCCCATCTGTATTATTTTTTTTCCAGCATGTATTACTTGACAAAGAGACACTGTGCAGAGGGTGACCACAGTCTGTAATTCCCCACTTCGATACAAAGGGTGTCGTTCTTCTCCAACAAAATAGCAATCCCTTTTAGTTCATTGCTTTTGACTTTTCAATGGGTGTCCTAGGAACCTTTTAGAAAGAAATGGACTTGCATCCTGGAAATATATTAACTGTTAAAAAGAAAACATTGAAAATGTGTTTAGACAACGTCATCCCTTGGCAGGCTAATGTGCTGAAAAACAAAAGATATCCTTTGGTAAACTTGACGGGAGCTAATGCCGAGGTGGAAAGGTAATGATCACACTGTTTATTAGCCTGCATTGTGTTCAGATACCCATAAAACAGTGTTCTTAAATTATAAGCTCAGGTTCAAAAGGTTCCACACGCCTGGGAGACTTGGATTCGCAATACCGAGGAGGTAGCACTTGATGGATTTGGGATGAATTGGTGAAATTTGTGATTTTCCTAGATACATTTTAATACCCTGAGCTGTGCTACTTCTTTGAATGTAGATTTTCATTCCCATCTTCAGTGTCTGAATATCTGAATATTTTGTGATATGCATTGCTTTCTAACCAGAAAGAAATAAAGCATTATTTTGAAAAGTGTATATCTGGTCCATTTGCAACACTATGGAATTTAACCATTGTACTTTCTTAATGCTAATTGGTTCCCTATTCTTCCATGCATGCTGCGTTATTTCTCACACTGTCTAGTTCCTCTTCTTTATTCTCTTGCTTCTTTTCATCACAACCGTGTGCAAACCCAGCAACATTATTTGTGAGGATCATGCCCAGTGAAAATGTCAGTCCCTTGTTCAAGAAGTAAGTCAAAGCCTTTTCTTCTATAGTTTTTCTCTTCATCTGTCATGGTGTCTTTTATTTGCCATTTAATGCCACGTTTCTTTGGACATGGGGATATGCACAGGGCAAGTGCAGACCCTCACATCATCCTGTGACCAGCCCCAACTCTTCTCAGTCCAGGTCCAGGACTCTTAGGGTGGAAGGTGGCCTTGTCACTGGGTAAGAGAGCAGCCAAGGACTCATTCAGGGGAAGGGATGGGGGGAGGCGGAAGATGAGACAATGTGTGACTCTAGGCTCCAGGCCCCCAGCTTATCTCTTTGGCTTTTCCTTATGAAAAATGAACTCAAAGATGAAATTATTAAGAATTTCAGACCAACAGCCATAGAACATTAAACCCATGAGGCCTCTTTCTTAGTGTGGAGTCCTGTGCAGCTTCAATAGTTACCCACAGAGACCTGGTCACATGACTTTTAGATTTATCCCCAAAACAGTCATATGATGGATTGTAGATGGACTTTGTAGTCAGTGTAATTTTGAGATTGATTTTTCACCATCTCTCTGGTTGTTCAACCACTGTGAAGTACTGAGTGAAACAAATGAGAAAAACTCTGCCTTACAATAAGATTATTATATTATGTCTTATTGTTTTACTAGAGGCCTGATGTATGGGATTTGTGCACTGGTGGGGGTGTATGGCCTGTGGAGATAGGCCCACTGTGGGAATGCCACTCATCCTGACCAGCCCAGTGGTGCTCCTGCTGTGGGAGCACACTGATCACCAGGGGGCAGCTCCTGTGTTGAGCATCTGCCCCTTGGTGGTCAGTGCTCATCATAGTGACTGGTCAACTGGTCATTCTGGTCATTCTGCCATTCAGTCGCTGGGGTTTTATTATATAGAATTATTAAGGATCTCACTTTTTTGTCTCTCTTTCTTTAAATGCTAGAAATTTCATAAGTACTATAATGGACACAAATATTGATCTCTTATTCTGAAATTACATTTAAATCTGATAAAATAGAATTGTTTAATCTTCTAAAAAGAAACAGTTATCTCTTCATGTTTTGTCCAAATAGAAAGAAGGAATATTACTGTCATATCATGTAACCATTTCATGCTTTTTTGAAGTAATATTAATAAATTAATAGGTATGTAATAAGCACCTCTGATTTCCTCAACTGATTTAGAAAAGACTTTTCTATTGGCAAAGAACACTCACTCTAGTTACACTGGAGTACGTGGTTGGATGGTGACTTGCTAAAAAGCTGGTAACTTCCCAGCAAATGGGGCTCCATATTTGGCCTTTTAAGTAAATGTTATGAAAGTTACATGAAAATAGGATTAATGGTCTTAATTTGTGAATTTCTAGATGCTTTTATGGCCCTCTCAGAGCCATGCTCCCTCCTTGAATGTAGATTTACTTATTTTTTTCCTTTAGAGTTGCAATATAACTGAATGCTTTATGATCTATGTGTATTGTTTCCATAGTCAAAATGATGTAAAGTTGTCTTTACCGTTTTGGAGAGTGTTTCCCGTCCAGTTGTAGCAATACTAAATCCAAAACTATCTTGTAGCTAAAACAGGAATGGTGTGTGTGAGTTGCACATCATTTTGGGGGATTTTTTTTTTTTTACTTGATGTTGATAGAAATACTTTGAGGAAGCCAATCGATTTTTCTGTTTTTTTAGTTTATTGAAATATGTTAGGGGAGGGGTTGTAGGGCCTGGACAGTTAATGCGGGCCCAGTCTGCTTTTCTTATATGTCATTCAACATGTGTAGTGCTTCAGCATAGTGTTTCTCAGCCTGTGGATGCATTATAGTCACTGGGGGGCTTGTTGAAGCAGATTGCTGGTCCCCCTCCTATAGATTCTGATTGAGCAGGTATAGGGTGGGGCCTGACATGGGCCCAGGTGAGGCTGATACTGCTTGTCTGGACATCATACTTCGAGAATCACTGGTCTAGTCTAGAGCAAGAAGTATCAAGTCAGATTTGCTAGTAATGAACTATAGAAATGATCCCTGAAAGTATTAACACAATGGAATACTACTCAGCTATAAAAAAAGAAGAAAATCTTACCTTTTGTGACAGCATGGATAGATATGTAGAGTGTTATGCTAAGTGAAGTAAGCCAGTAAGGAAAGACAAATACCACGTGATTTCACTCACATGTGGAATCTAATGAACAAAATAAACAAAATTGAAATAAAGATTTTAAGTATTGGAGAATAATGTTAATACCAAGCAGGTCATGTTGAAACATGGTTGTTGTTCATGTCTGGCCCATGAGTCCCAAGTTCCCCATGCTTGTAACATCTTATCCTCACAGATGTTTCTCTCATGGTTAAAATTACTCTTATGCACTTACATAGAAGCATGCCTGAGACATAGCAATGATGGGAGATTGCCAATGGAATTTGCCAGAATCTCTTTTGTTTAAATTTGTTTAGATTCTGCTACCAGGAAGAATGTGGGTGTGAGATAAGCTTCCTTCTTTCCACCAGATTTGGGGTGCCCATGTTCCCAGGCCTGCAGGAATGAATTAAATGTTATTGACTGCATCTGTGTCATTACTGTTTTATTCATTCATTAGTTTATCTTGTCAAAATATTGGCAATTGTGATATAGCTTTAGGGGGCTGTGGTGATTAGTATAACATGAGGAAGTTGTGGCTTGTTCTCAAACAGGGAGAAAAGACTTTTCATTGTAAAATGGATAATTTATTTACTGTCTGATTGACTATATGCATATCAGTTGCATAGCAACAGAACAAAGTTTGTCTGTTTAGGAAAGTCTGAAGGTTGCTTATAACATAAAAATAGAAGATGCTTTCTGAACATCCATTGGCTTCAATGTGTACTCTGTCACAATTATAGAACGACACCAGGATGAGAATTTATTTTAGGTAATATAAATGTTAACTCAAATTATAGAAGCTATTATTATATACTTATTAGATAGAAATTCTTATCTGTTTTAAAAGATACAATTTCCTGCCCTTATTCAAATCTAACTTGAGCAACAGTTATCTTCTTTCCTCTCTAATGTAGTTGTCCAGAGTTGGTTGGAGAAATAAAGAATACTTCTTTTTATTCCGTTTTCAGTTTTTCTACTGAAAAATTTCTGCACATTATTCAGATAATGAGCATAGCTTCAGTTGAAAATTTTCCAGGATCTTCTAAACATGAAGAGTTGTGTTACCCTGAATAATGTCAAAACAAGGGCTGGAATTCAAGTGAGCAATAAATTTGATTTTGTTTGTTCTGCTGATCACTGGGGGAAAGATTCTGGCTTGGTTTCCTGACTTTATTTTCTAGTTAGATCATCTACCTTTAAAACTGTTTAACCCTCCCTCCATCTCTCTCCCCTGCGCGCGCCCCCCCCCCCCCCATTTATGGTCAGAGTCTTCAGACTGTCTCTAATAGTGGGAACTTCTTATTGAGTCATTTATGGTAATGTCCTTCTTTACTACCTCAACTAAAGAGAAGTTAAGGTGAACCCTCCTGAAAGCATTGGGTTAGGTTTCTGAAGATCTGAGTGACTACGTGGGTGAACCATTATTTCCCTTTATGACCTTCATAGATTTTCAGCTATGAAATGAGAACATAGCATAGTGAAATGTATTGTGAGAATGTATTGTGAATTATAAATCAATATTTAAAGCTTTATTCATAAGAATTTTTATCGGGAGAGAGAGTATAACAAGTCCCTCTATGTATTTTTTTTACAGTACCTATTTAAGAAAATAAACTGATGAACAAAATAGATCCAGAGACATAGGAGCATGGAACAGGCTGAGGAATCTCAGAGGGAAGGTGGAGGAGGTGGGTGGGTGGGAAGAGATCAAGCTTCCTCTCTATAAAATAAATAAAAACATATCCTTGGGTGAGAATTTTTTAAAAAAGAACATATGGCATGTAATGTAGAAGCAGAAGCAAAGTTTGTTAGACATAGTGAAGCATGTCTTTTAGAGTTAGACAGAAGCCTGTATCCTAAATAGCAAATTGGTACCAATAGGGTCTTTTTCTCTGGAACTTTGGCACCACTTTGAACCAAGAGCAAGGATTTCTTTACCATGTGAACAGACTGCATTGCCCAAGACAATAATACACTTTTGGTTCTGACTTTCCCTTATGCA